GCCCCCCCCCCCAGCTCTTTTTGGCATGAAAACACTTCTCTCGCAAAGAGCAACGGGGTTACGAAGAAAAGGATCGTACCCATCTGTACTTACGAAAACCGCGCTTGGTAGACTCCTTGTGCAACCCAATTTCAACACTCCCAGACATAAATCAAGCGTGGCCTAGTGGGCAGAAAAAATTCAAAGTGATGTCATTTGACGTCAAAGGGGTCATTTTGATGTCATTTTGATATCATTTTGACATCAAAATAATATTGAAATGACATCAAAATGACCCCTTTGACGTCAAATGACATCACTTAGACTTTTTTCTGCCCACTGGGGGGCAGGCCAAGAGACCCAAGCCCAGCCAGAAATTGAAAGTTGACTCAACGTTGAATCGACGTCTAAGTTGATAGTACGTCGAAATTTGGACCATATTTTGGTCAATCAACGTTGATTCAACGCTGACGCTGATAAACGTCGATGCATTTCTGGCTGGGAAGAGACTAGCCCTAGTCTCTTGGGCAGGCCTATGCCTATGCCACGCGGGTGGGTATTGGTATTGTCGCTCGCCGTGGCGTTCGGCACGCCTGAAAACGGTACAGTATAACCACAAGAAGAGGGATGGTGCAGAGCACCCACCTTAAACGTACTGCTCCAGTTGGGAGGGCGGCACGAACCACATTACTTGGAATCAATGACAGCTGACAACTGTGGTACACTATTCAGTTGGAAGAAAGAAACTTGTACTTGATGAGATTGATGAAACAAAATACATTCATTCACCCCACTTGACTCAATTTATTTCATACATTTGTAGGGAGGAACTATTAATTATTTAAGAAAATCACAGTGGCTTGTTATGAGCAGATGGGAGGAAGTCCGTGTCTAGCACAAAGAGACCCAGCTCTCCTTGACGAAACATCTTCAGCATTTTTACAGCAGCAGCTTCAATATTTGGTCTTTGTACAACTAAACCTCCTGAAGAAGGTAAAAAAAAAGAAGTCAACATAAATAGAAAATAGAGTTGAATTTTACAAAGAAATAAAATATTTCAACTTGGTACCTCATAATTTTCACATTTCTCTTATGCCATTATTAAGATAGATAATAGTTACCTTTGGACATATCTTTGTACTTGATAAACTTTTGCAGCTTCAGAGCAGATAACGTTAACAACTCAATAATATCATCAGATGGTCCAGGTAGGCCCATTTTTTCAACATAACTGCAAGTTTGAAAAATTGTGTCTAACAACATCAAACAACATGAAACAATAAGGAAAAGAAAAATGCAGAATAATCACCTAAAATGCCCGTGTTTATTCAGCCAATACAGGAGGTAGTCAGCGATATTAATAACACCAACAAGGTGATCTTGCATACTTGCTAGAAGTAAGAAAAATGTATCACAATAAACTCACATGTTTCATAAATAAATGAGAAAATATGGTAAGTACTCACCACACAAGGCTAGACGGAAACCGGCTTCGATGTTTCTTACTTGCGGCTCTAATATACCAGGGGAGTCTAAGAGGTACATTGGTGGGTCATAGCATACATGAATTTTGGTTAAAAGAGAACGTGTAATGCCAGCCACGGCTCCAACTCGAGTTGCTTTCTCTGCAAACAGAGTAACATATTAAGAGGGTTCAATGGCGTTCAACCATCAACTACAAAAATTATTAATGGTACTCACTCTTCTTAGTGTGATAATTTCTGAGGACGTTAATTAGAGACGACTTGCCTACATTTGGTACTCCTATTACAAGCAAGTTGAAGGATTTTTCACTTTCTCTGTTATAACGGTAGATGTCCGTTACTTTGTTAATAATGGCAGGAACAACCTACACATACAAAAAAAGTTTTAAAGTACTGACTTAATAAAAATTGAAAATGATTCTTTCACCATTGTCATGGCTAGAATTCAACTTACATCCACTACACCAGAGCCTTGTGGTGTCCTACAGTCAGTAAACAATACATCTGAAGTGACGCCGTTATCAGTCAAAGCTTTCAAAATGACTGGCTGCATATCTTTTTCAATTAGATCACATTTGTTCAACACCAAAAGATGAGGACGAACCCCTAACAATGTACTCCTGAAAAGCTCATTCCTCCCAGACATGGGTATCTGTATCAATATTAAGGAAAAGTAATCAAGGATTTTAGGAAATGATTATAGAAAATGTCAAATCAGGATGTGTGCTGACGTATAAAAAGGATACTCGAGCATCATGAACTTCAACGATACAGTCAACATTTTTGAGCTGCTGTTGCATTTGTTTTAAACCTGATACATGCCAAGAAAGGATCAATTAATAACTTCCTAAAGGTGGCTTTAACCTCTTGAAACTTGTGTATAAAACGAAAATTTACTACCTTTCCCCATATGACCCGGAAACCATTGCAATATATTATTAGCATATTTATTGTTAAATGAAGTCCTAAATTTTTGAGCAACAGACATGACAACCTCACTAGAGTACGAGCACTTTCAAACAAATCGTATTTGTTATTGTTTCACGTTGTCTGCAACAGTTCAAACGTCGTCTGCTACAAGAGAGAAGGTCTAAGACACCAACACAGTATGGCGAAATATTCCATTGTGATAACTTATTAGAAATAAGTTTTCACCTTAAAGCTATAATCATGATGTTTCATTCCTTCTTAAAATTGTTGAGGCCATATATTATCATGCATTGTACAACTATTAAATGTTTCCAGCACTAACGAGGCTGTACAAATGTTGGCCATTCCGAATCTTATTGCCATAATTCTAACTGTTAATTTTTAGAATACCAGCGAATAAAACCAGTTGACTGTTACCAATTTGATTATGAAACATACTCAATGTTACGGTGTTGTTACAGCTGTGATGAAAACACACAAAGAATGTTGACTTTGCTTTGATTGAAAGCACTCTCATCCATGTTATGTTTTTTCAGAAACCCTGTTGTGTCGGTCAGGCGGACATCTAAATACTTTTTATTTGCCCTTTATAAGACGCAAAGGTGGCCATAATCCACGTTTAAAATCATGCTCTAATTTTATTTTTGTATTTTATTTGCTGCGAGCGCCGCACTGATGGCGGCCGAAGTCTGTTGGACACGCTTCGACTTTGACTCCGGAGTCCTCTGGCATCCGCCATTAGAGCCCCTCTTCCGAGCCGAGCCGAGGGATCTCTGAGAGTGGAGGCCTGAAAAAATTGAAATTGTGTGTCCAGTCCGGTGTGCAAGTGCCCTAGGAACTGTCCCAGAACGGATAAACTTTAATAGAGTGAGTACCCGGTGTGTGAGTGCACGCAAGTGTCAGTGTTTCGCCGTTATTTCGTGGTGTCGCTCGGCGAGCGGTGTGGCCGCGGCTCCGCGAGCAGCAGCCGCAGAGGCGGAGGGGCCGGAGGAGGGACGATGACGCACTGCTCGTAGGAGTGTCCTTATCGCCCAGGGCTCGGCCAGGTCCGCGTCGGGGCCGCAGCCCCGCCACCGGCTCCTGACCAAACGCTTCCCCCGGGGCCGAAAGCCAGGGTGTCATGAGCACGGTCATGTCGCACTTGGCGGGGGAGAGGTGTCTGGGGCGGCTCCATGCGGGTCGGGCGCAGCCGCGGCCGGGACCTTCGCCGGGCTGCCGACATCGCTCTGCCGACCCGATCAATGTCCTCGGGCTCGGGGCGCAAGGTGTCGTCGGGGACGTGTTGGCCGCGGCCGGGGGAGGCCCCCGCGGGTGACGGCTGCCCGTCGGCGGGTATGAACGGGTTGGGGTGATTCATGGGCGTGAGTTCCCACGAGCGGGGCGCAGCCGCGTAGCAGCGAACCTGTCCGGCCCGAGCCTCCTAACCCTACTTTTCATGTCGGCTGGCGCAGGCGGGGCTGGGCTGGGCGCTGCCTCGCAGTACAGTGGTGACTCGTAGCAGACGACTTTTTCTTGTTTTTTGTTTGCGGCTGCCCTGTGACGAAGGTGTCAGACTTGACGTGCTGTCAAGTGTGTAGGGGACACTGGATTCTATGAGCTGAGAAGACCTGAATTCTGTTTTGTTGTGTACCTCCATATTTATTCTACCAAAAGGGTGCACTTTGATCAATTTTGTTCTTTTCAATTTAATACCATTTTAATACTTAATGAAAAAATTGTTTGTCAACTTGTGTCTTGTAAATAGTGGAATGTGGTATTATAACACACCAGCTGCCAAATAATAATTACAGTATGAACAAGTAGTGACCAGTGTCGAACTACAGTACTGAGTTCAGAATAATGTTGACATGTTAGATACAATTTAAATTTATGTATTACATGGTATTACAGTTCAACTCCATTATTAAAGTGCAACCCTAAATGTACAGTATATCCCAATGAAACTTGTTTGACGGAGTTGAAGGTATTTTTTAAAAGTTGACATCACACTACATCCAACTGAACAACCCTCCCTCAGATCAATTTATGTTGGTGGAAAGGGCGCGCCGCGCTTGCAGCTGCAATTTTTTTTCATGTGTGAGTGTGTGTGGTATGGTGAAAATTTGATGAAGCTGGCGGCCATAGGCCGGGGTTGGGCCCGCCGCGCCCCACCCCACCCCCCGGCTGCGGACGGAGTGACAAGAGAGGAGCACAAGGAGAATCTTTTTCAAACGCAGCCCTGGTCGCTACCGCCGCACCCCGCCCCGCCGTGCCGCCCCGCCCCACCCTCCCGCGGGGGTGTCGGCCGCGCGCCCGCCTGCTTGTGAATTCTCGGCATTCGCCTCCCCCTCGCCCGTCGTGCGCCCCTCCCGGCCACCCAGCCCAGGCATCTCGTTGAATTTGATGAATCTAGACGACCAGGCCGAAGTACTGCGTAGTAGTTTTCCCTCGATTTGTAGAAGGGACGGCGCGCGGCTGACAGGTGCGGGGGCGCGGGCTGCGGTGGGTGGCGCCTGGTCGCGGCGGGG